AGGAGGATTGGCAATAGATGTTAGCTCAGAGCCGGTCTTCCTCAGCAAAAAGAGGAGGATTAGTATGGATGTTAGCTCAGGGCTGATGTTCCTCAAAAAAAAAAAAAAAAATGAACCCACCTAATGTTTCCAGGGGAACTGAAATCAACATGACTCTCTTTTGATTAGAATATTATTATTAAATATCAGTGGCTTCAAAACCTTGGTCATGCCTAAAAATTAATATCAATTTAATATATGTTAAAATCATCTTCCTGAATTATGATCTTTATAAAAATTTCTTAGCAATTGTTATTTTTCCAAGCAGGTTCAGCACAATATTTGGCACATCCTAAATACTTTTCATGCTCTTTTAATGAAACATGAAGTTATAATTTACATTATCCAGAACACGTTTTCTTAATTAATAAAGAGATTCTATGTCTTTGTGGATACATTTTGCATTCCTTTCAACTTTTAATTGGTTGTCCCCTTATTAGCGCTGCCTAAATAGCTACGATAGATATAGCCAAAGCTTAGCATAAATTAGCATAAGGGAAGCCATCTTGTAAAGGGGAACCATACAGAAATTATAAATGACCCTGATCCATGAGACACCCCCTTTGCTGAGTCAGCAATGCTTTACTTCGCACCTACTTGTTGGAAATATGCATGCTCTGCTACTTTCTCAGCCTCGGCTTGTACATAGACCTCCCTGTTGTGATAAGGCAGCAACTTAGTTCTTTAAGTTTTCCCAGGAATGTAACGACCTCCAGAAAGGAGCCCTGTGCTGGTATCCATCACTGGTGACAAGAAAAAGGGATGATCCGGCATGTCAAGGACTACAACCCCAGATGGTTGCATTCCGAGACCCTCCTTCTTTTCAGCCCATTTGCCCTATATAACTGCTTCAAAATTTTGTAGTGTTAAGATGGTTCTTTTGGACACTAGTCTGCCATCTTCCCCCTTGCTAGCAAGCTGTCATAATAAAAGACCCTTTCTCTCCTACCACCTTGCCTCTGGACTGTTGGCTTGTCTTTGTGGTGAGTAGAGGACCCCTTTCTGGCGGTGACACCCCTGCTGTGTAATATATTTTTCTGGCTGAGCTACAGGTACCAGAGGAATACCCTCTTCCTTCTGAGTAAAAATTAGTTAATACATCTAGTTTAAAGCCTTCATATATATTTTTATAAGTTTTGGCATAAGCTGGGACTATAGTAACTTCAAATTCCTTCATCACAAAACAGTCTCTGTTAAAGACAAACCTGTGGATGCCACTAGGAATGTGTGTCTTTTAGAAAATGAAGGAATTATGAGTGTAACGAGTTACTGAACTAAAAGGAAAGAGGAGAAGACAAAATTAGAGGATATTTTCTCAAATAAAAAAATCAGGTTATGATGTGGAAGTGTGTTAGAAGGGAAAGAGACCATCTTAAGATTTCTTTACAGGTTGGCATAATTGTACTTTGACGTAATTTTGTTTTTCTCAGAATTGTTACCAAATTAGTAAAGTGTAAAGAAACATAGATTTAAAAAGAACAATAATACAGCAAAGTGTTGGGTTGAGTGGAGAAAAATATGAGAGTTCTGAGAACTGTAATGAGACCTCAGAGTATTTGATATGCCTCAATGTTGAGAGATTCTTATCACCCTCACACACACATTTATTCATTTTCATGGTTAAGGGGAGGCCAAAGAAAGAGAAGAACCATAGATGGTCTTAGAGGTACCTTCTCTAATAGAGAACGCTAGTTATCCACTCCAATGTCTACTTTCTTCTTCCTTTTAGAAACAAAATTCTGATTTTTTTTGCTGGGCACATTGCTATCAAACTAAAAAGACTGGATTTTCTATTATTCCTTTCAGCTAGATACAACCTTGAGATTAAGTTCTGACTAACAACATTTCAGCAGACATGTCTTATAGAAACTTCTTAATTTCATGAAGCCTTCTTCATTTCTTTATCTCAGTGGTGTACTCATAAACTGACTCCCCAGAAAGAAAAAGGAAAGACCTGATTTCTAATTTTTGCTAATTTTTGTGGTGAAAATACTCCCACCCAACTACCAAAGTGATTTCAAGCTACCAAAGTGTTATGTACTCAGTGTCAGCTTGTACATAGACCTGTGAACTGTGCCCCCCGGTGTTGAAGCTCTAAGCTCCAGTGTGACTATATTTGCAGATAAGGCCTTTAAGGAGGTAACTAAGGTCAAATGGAGGTCATAAAGGTGGGGCCCTTATCTAAGAGGACTGGTATCCTTACAGAAAGAGGAAGAGACAACAGAAGCGCATGTCCACAGAGAAAGGGCCACGTGAGGACAGAGCAAGAAAGTGGCCATCTGCAAGCCAAAGAAAGAGGCCTTGCCAGAGACCAACTTCCGGCCCCTTGATCTTATACTTCCAGCCTCCACAACTGTGAGAAAATAAATTTCTGTTGTTTAAGCCACCCAGTCTGTGGTATTTTGTTATGACAGCCCAAGAACACCAATGCACAAAGTACTATCACTGAACATAAAGTAGGGAAGAGGTGCATAGAATTGGCTCTTGCATTGCAACATGAGATGGCTCTAGGACACCACTGCTTCATCATATTGCTCGGAATATAGTGTGATGGCAAGAATCTTAGAAGCCATCTTGCTCTGTGATGACTATGGCCACACTGTAGGGACTATGGAATGGTGAATAGAAATAAGCTTGTGTCCCAGACAATGCTGTGAAGCTGCCATACCAGCCCTCAACACAAACCAGACTCAGTACAAGAAGCTCTGGGTATAACACAAGAGAACATTTACAGAGGGCAAACCACATTTTAAGTCATGTGATTAAGTCATGAGCCAGATGATCAGAAATCAAGTCACATGAGCAATTTCTCTAGACTGGAAAGAGACGGGACAGATGGAGGTCGCCTCCTGAACTTGAGGCATCAGTATTCTTCAAAAGAATTCTGAGGGTGGGGGGAAGGGTCCCTAGTAAGCATCCACTTTAGTTTTAGTCCCTCTGTTTTAACCTGGTATTCAAAGAAGTACAGACAAAAATGTGAAAGACTTAAATCTATATAGATTATTATTATATGGTGTGGGATACTTATTGAGATCATTTCCTGCCCCTGGAAGTCACTAGTGGGTATAGTGATTACATATGAGATGACAGAGAATTGGGTGCTCTCCTGAGCGTGATTTCCGAAGAGTGAAAGAGGACAAACACATCTAGTGGCTTTTATACGAGGAGATATAAACAGAAGACCAGGAGAAGAGAGGGGCAAGAGGAGGAGTAATATTTATAAAGAAAGATGGTCCCCTCGGGACCTTCCTTCTCGGGAAGAGAAGGAAGTTTTTAAATGGTTTACCACACCCCATCCAGAAGCTGAGGGTAGTTTACTCCAGGAAAACCATCTTGTGAGTACTTGATATGTAAGTAGAGAGGTTATTTTATCAACAAAAAAATTGAGGCACAGAAAGATCAAGAGGCTTGTCTAAAATTACTCAGTAAATGGCTCAACACAGAATAAAAACAGCTCTCTTGGCCACTGGTTAAGTGTTTCTTTGGCTACACTGCAGATTCTGGACAGATCACTAGCCTTTAACAGCATGCCGGGCACTCTATCTTACTCCATAGTTGATGTAGAGAAAAAGGAACTCTATTGTACAGTCAGTGCTGTTCAATAGAAATTTCTGAGATAATGGATACGTTCTAAGGCAGCACTTGACATAGGGTTAGTGCAACTGAGGAACTGAATTTTAAATTTTATTTAATTAGAATAAATTAAAGTCTAAAAAACCAGATGTGGCTGGCAACTTGCCACACTGGCCAGTGCAGCTACAAAGCGTGGTTCCTCTGGCTGTGGTTTTGACCCACTAGTACCTCATGAAGTCAATTTAGTAGGTTTTGACTAGCACTGAAAAAGGAAAGAAATAGAATTTCTCTCTCTCGTTACATTACCCGTATGTTCCTGCATGTTGTCTGCTTTTCCACTACAGCCCTTAACATCGTTAGTAATCACAGTTATTTAAAATTCCTCATCTGATCCTTCCTACATTGTTGTCATATCTACACCTGGTCTGATGTTAGCTTTACCTCTTGAGACTATGTTTCTTCTTGTCTTTTGGCATGACTTGTAATTTCTTGTTGAAAACCAGACATATTGTATTGGGTATAATCGAAGAAAGGAGGCAAGTACTGAGAGTGCCTATAGTAATCTGGCTAGGAGTTGGGCTATATTTAATGTTTGCTGTTGCTGTAGGCGCCAGAGGCTTCAAATTCCTCTGTTGTCCTTGTTTTTGTCTCCCCTCCTGACCTCGTTCTTCCCTAAGTACTTTCCTCAGAGATATTCTGCATCTTGCAGTACTGTGAACGTAATCCACCTGCCATTACACTGGAGCCCTGCCTGGTGTGGTGGTGGTCAGGCTGGGGCGAGGGGAAGCATTCTAATCTTACGATTAGGTCTCAGTCTTTTAGTGGGCCCGTGCCTCTTGGCTGTGACCTTCACAAGTGTACCTTAAGTGAGACAGGAAGGCTGGGGGGGCTCCAGTGGGATGGATGCCACGCCTCAGCTGGGATAAAGCTCTGGTAAAGTAGTCTTCCCTGGAGAGGAGGCCTTTACTAAGGAGAACACGCTGGGAGTACTTCACTGTGATTATTCTTCCTTGGACCCAGCAGAGTCTCAAGGGAATCTTCCTCAGATCTTCACAACGCAAAGCTGGTGGGGTTCCTGGAGGTAAATCCCACAAAACTACAGGTGCCTCATAAGATTACAATCCCCAGGAGAATCTTACTCTCAAACTAGTCCACACTCAGCCTCCAGCAGTTCAGCAAAACTACCATTTAAGTGCTCCTATTGGTTGACGGCTCCAGTGACTTCTGCTCTAGGTAAGCTGATGTTGGATGTCACTCTCTTGATGGACCTTTCTCTCCGGATTTTGGGATGGTAGTTTGCCTTGAACCCTTAGTTTTCTGAGGAGTTCAAGAAAAGTCATTGATTTTCAGTTTGTTCAGCTTTTTCTTGTTGAAAGGATGCAAGTGACAACTTCCAAGCTCTTTACATGTTGGGCTGAAACCTTTAGTCTAAGTATTGCTTTTAAAACCTTTGCTTTAATTATGTATTTATGCATACGTATGAGGTCATGATGTAAAATGCAGTTCTTGCTAGGGTTCAAAAAACTTCAAGAAACAGTGCCAGGAGGCAGAGAAAATAAGACTCTAGGGTCATTTCTGCTAGGCATGTCCCAACTGTATTCTGGTACATATTCACAGAACCATCCTATATACCGCTACGTAGAAGCCAATATTTTGTAAGAAAATCTCTCATTAAGCTAGAGCACACCAGTTGAAAAGAAGACTTGGAGAGGTTTTAATTAGCATAACTGGTAAATAGTGGTTTATTTATTTACTTACTACAAATTTGCTGTTCGATCACACAGACAGTATTATGTTCTGGTATACCTTAGACAATGTGGAATATTAGTTTTCTGCTTTTCTGAAAAACATTTGAACTTTGACATATTTTATTCTTTGTACTGCTCTTAGCTACTAGGTAAACTAAACATAAAATCTTAATGTGAATAATTTTATTTGACATTTTGATTTGCTGTTTGGGAACTACTGTCTAAGTACTTCTTAATTTGCAATACTGATTTTTTTTGTAGTGATTTTAGTCTAACTAGATTTAGTTTAAACTCCAAAAATAATTAGTTAGAAATTATTAATCATTAAATCATTTTAAAATGTGGCATAAGGAAGCAGGGGGCTTCAGAAGAGAAAGAGACAGAGTTCTTTCTCATCTCACTTCTGCATATCCTTGTCCATGACAGGAAGCAGTGTCTGAAACATTTATAAACACTTGATGTAGAGTCTTCCCTTTCTATAGTCCAACTCTGACCTCAGCTGTGCAAGGAAATCCTTGGAAGGGACACATGCTTTGCATAACACAATAGAAAAGGTTTATAAATGCTCTGTAAGTGGACTTCCTTCATAATAGCTACACTCTAAAAGTAAAGGGAAAAGCTCAGGATGCATCTGACATACTCTTTAATCTTAAATATTTGTACTACATTTCCAAATTCGCAGTAAGATTGCATATCTTTTTGATACCGGCTCAAGACAAGGTTGACAGAAGAGAAGTCATATTGTAGGAAAGAAACCCTACTGTAACTCTGAATGACCTCTGACGAACTACCCCAGCTGGATCTGCACCCTCCAGGAGATCTAACTGCTCTGTAGATTTTACGACCCCTGCTTGCGCACGTACCTTCCAGCTGCGATAAGATGATCACTTTGTTCTTTTGAGTTCCTTAGGAGTGTGATGACCCCTGAACAGTGAGTCTATGCTGATAGCCATCATCAGTGACAACTGAAAGATCTGGTGTGGCGACTCCCAGTCTGTAACACCAGAAGGTCAACATTCCTAACCTCCTCTCCTATAACCCACTGGCCTATATTACTGCTGTAAGATTTTGTGCCCCTTAAGATGGTTCTTTGAGATGTTAGTCAGCCATCTTCCCCCTTGCTAACAAGCTGTAATAAACTGCCCTTTCTTTCTACCATCTTGCCTCTTGATGACCGGCTTTTGTCTCGCGGCAAGCAGACCGTGCCCTTTGTGCGGTAACATTTTTACTTTAAAATATTTTATGAAGTTTACATTTATAAAGTTTTATCAGGTAATTTCATTCTCTCATTGTAAAAGGGTATAAACTCAAAAACCAAGTAGTTCTACATTTATATGAAAACATTCAGAAATTAATATATTAGATTTTGATTTTAGCATAATTATTGTGGCAAGTGTGGCTGTTCCATCTGGAATTTTAAATCTGATATAATTTATCATGCTGCAAGCAAAGTTGAATAAAATGGTTAGCTTCATAAATTAAATAAGGAAAAGAGAGGAAGACTGTATATAGAAATGGTACCATGAGGATAAAATAGTGAAAAAGATTTATGTTTTCCAGAACAACCAAAAATATACTCAACAGCATGGCAAAAAAAAGAGGATAGGAAAAAAGTTCATTAATATCTGCTAATCCTGTTATAATAAAGCAAATAATTTTAGTTCCATATTTAATAGCTGACATATATTAAAGTGCTCTCTACTGACACATATAAAAATATATGATGTTACTGCCTGTTGTTTTACCACATGGTATACAGGCTAATTTCTCATAATTTACACGTTCATACTTTTGCGAATCCAGATTAATAATAACAACCTTAGGTGTGTGAAAACTAAACACAGGAAACACCTGCAGAACAATATTAATTTCTGTAGGGAAGTGAAACGTATTTGTCATACGTTTATTGAAAGAAACTCAGGACGATGTTTTATATTTGTTAAAGCATAAGAAAGTTCCTTACCTAAAGCTTTCATACACCAGACTGTCTTGTTCCAAAGGGCTGGCCGTGTTCTAATGCATTTGTTACTTGATGTAAATTCAATCTCCACAGTATCACCAATTAATTCATCTCTCAAAATAATAAATATTTCACCAGGATTCTATAAGATGAAAAATATAACCCAATTAAGCATTTGAAAAAGTTTACATTAACCAAATAACCCATTACATTCATTAATGATAAAGGTCACACATGATCATTATGCGTCTTCTATCATGTTCATAATTTGAACCACATTTAGAAATGAAATATGTAAGTGTGAGTCTCACTAGATTTTCAGTTTATCAACTTGGTTTTTATTGAATACTCAATTTTTTTTCCAATGCCATATTTTGCAACTAAACAAACAGTGAGGACATAGCCGTCCCTTTCCTCCTGCTCATCCTCGTGTGTGGCCTCAGGGTGATGAGCATTGCTCGCGGACCTCCAGGAAACTGTAATTCAATTGCTAAACAAGTCCTTTCTCCAAATCCTTTCCCTTCACCTTTCTAGAACTTGGTGTATCTACCTATAAATGAGAGGACTGAACAGGTTTAGCTTTAAGATCTCTCACAATTTAAATATGATGAAATTTTTCAAATGTCCAATAGTTTAAATCTTACCTAATAGAGATTTTCTGGTTACTCTTTATTTATGATAAGTATCTGTGAAGGGTATTGAATTGACAAAAGGTTATAAATCTAAAAGTTTTGAGATTTTATTAAGGTGGAAAACTAAATCTATGTACATAAGGTAAAAAAGGTTATTGAAAACTTTTTGGAAAAAATCCAGAAAAAAAAACATAGGGATAAGAAGACTGGAATTAATACAGAGAAAGCAAAGGAATAAATATTTATTGAGCATCTATTTTATACCAGAAATTACACTAAGCACATTTTATATAAAGATCTTTCCTTTATTCCTAACCGAAACATACACACACGCATGTGCACCCTCACACCAAAGCCAAAATGGAAGACCGTGATTTTTCTCTTTGACACACAGGGTAACTAATACACAGTCACAATCTGAAGATTAATCAGAACTATCCAAATTCAAAATCTGAACTCCTTACATCATATTATTTAACCCTTCAAAATAACTAAAATGAAATATTCTTTTTATGATTATCTCAGATATCACCTTTCAAAGGCTTTCTTCAAAGTCAAACTAAATTTTAGTCTGTCACAAAGTAAACAGGAACCTCATTTATATGCTTTTATAAAATTATGTTTACCCAAAAGTCATTAATTTTAAAGTTCTCTTATTTAAATGTTGTCTTCCTAAGCATAAATCACCCACAGACGAAACTTACATCTTTAATGCTCTATACCAAAGAGCTTCTACAAATATGTTGACGTTACAAGATCATTTCCGCTGACACACATCCACTTCGGGCGTTCTCCACCAGAGTCCAGTGCTCCCAAGTACTTGTCCACAGGCTATTTTGATCTAATTTTCCCCTCATCAGTTAACTTGCACATCAAGAAAAGATCCCATCTCAAGGGAATGGTCACTATTCCCCCAATGGCTCTTGCCCCACACATCCAAGATGTCAGAAAGGCCTCCCTGTTCCCTTCCCTGTGCCTCTGCAGTGCACTGCCTCCTCCAAGTCCTGCAGGTCAGGACTGTGAGCCCTTCCTTTCCTCTCATCTGCAACCTCCTCTTCACAGGGCCTCACTTCCAGCGCAGCTCTTCAGTTCTTGTCACTCATACCTGTCACCTGACTTCGAATCTTGAATGACTTCCCATTTCACTCTGGCTCAGATCCCCAATCCTCTGGAGTTCCCTTCCATGTATATCATTCTTGATAAGCTTGGCCTCTTCCCTTCCCCACTTAGTAAGCTAAGCATCCTCTCCGATGTTTGATTCACCCAGTCAACTCATTCTCATTCATGAGCGTTCCACACAGGCTACTTCTTATGCATCAGACTCCCTCCTTAATAGATGTCATGACTCCACCCTTCAGCCATTTCTAGAGAAAAGTTCTAAACAAAAGACAAGCACACTGGCCACCCTAAAGGAGGCACTTCCATGTTCATTTGTACCCAGGGCCAGCTTCACGGGCACGTGACCTGCGCAGCTGCACAGGACCCATGCTTAGAAAGGCCCTGCACTGGGTTGAATATTCTGCTGTTGCTGCCTTGAAGTGCTTAATAACGTGAACAAGCACCCCTGCATTTTCATTCTGCACTGGCCCCGATGATTAGGGAGTGGTCCTGTTTGTACATAATGCTGGCATGCCATTTAGTTCCTTTTCTCCCTCCATCTCCCCACACTTATCCTCTCCATCAAGGTCCAACTCCACAGATTCTCCTTATAACTTCAGCCCACGAGGAGTTTTACAACTTTCAAAGGATTCATAGAGCATTTCACATCCATATTCCTTATTTGACCCTTTCTAAGTTATGTCCTCTGCTGTTAATTATTTTTTCATGTCTATGTCTTGGCTTCTCAGCTAGATGTTAAACATCTTGAAGGTATTTTTATTTTTTCATATCATTGTGGCATCTTGTAAGAACTTCGTACATAAGAGACAATCTGTATATATTTTTAAAGTAAGATGGAATAAATATAAAAATATGACATGTTTTTAATTGAGCATGCTCAGCTCTCCTCCTTGTCTCCCTCAAGACTCATGTCTTCATCTGCTCCCTGCATCTCCACGTGGGAAGGGGCCTGCCCCAGGTGGGAAGGCCAGCATTTGTCCAGCTCTGTCCTGAATTATTATGGATATCTTAAGTAAAGATGTAATTACATGGATACATTTAATTCAATGGCTAAAAGACTAGGATACTCAAATCATCATAAATTTAGTTTTATCAGTTATGAAGCTGTTATTTTGCTCTCCATCTTTCCTCTGTTTATCCCTTATTTAGTTCTGAGCGTTCAGAGAAAGATAGGGTTATGATAATTATCACTTCCAAACTCTCAAGTTTTGCTGCATTAGTCACAAACTTTGGGACCTAAACAAAAGGACGCGAAACTGGTCTCTAATATAATATACGGTGCTGAAGTTTCTGGTTCTGTCAGGGTGGGTGTCTTTAGGCTTCAATGATTTATTAAGCACAGGCCACAAAGGATTTTGATCCTAATAGATCATCATATCAGCTTATTATGACTTGTACAGACTGATAGCTCTTTTCACGTATTCACGACTATTTTGATAGGCACTAGCTTAGCGAGCACAGAGCATGGCCTTACGCAGCCCGGACCGTGCAGGCTGCTGCAGCTGGCATCGACCGGACCTATGACAGCAGAACAAGGATTAGCAATGGTTCCAAATTTGGCTGCTAATTCTTACCCTCAGAATCAGCTGGAAAGGTTTTAAAACTCCCAGTGTCCAGGCCATAACCCAGACCACTTATATCTGGATCTCTGGGGTAGGATTCAAGCATTATTATTTTTTTTAAAACCTCCCCTAATAGTCCCTATATGCAGCTTAGTTTGAGAACCATTTGGTTAAAGGGAAAAGTCATCTTTTGGTCATTGTAAAACCTTACCACCAAAGGGGCAGCACTTCACAACATGGACACTTCAGGCATTGATACACACAATAATCTTTTGCTGCTTATACTATATTTTTCAATTAAATCACAGGATCAGACTTTAGGTTAAGGATGGTTACCAAGAACTAGTGTATGACTCAGTGTCAGAAATAACTGGGCAGTGCTGTTAGCTTCTGTGTGTTGTTCTACACTGGATTCAGGAACAAGGGATGAATGGATAGGAGGTGATCTCTGAGATTCTTGTGGCTTGCCCACGGCTGTTAAGGGTCACACCTCTTCATATAGTCTCAGAGTTTCCCAGATTTGTTGATTACACAATCTGGGTCTGCACTACGGGTTTGGAGACCCATATTATGGTTGCAGCCACAGAAGTATGTCAATGAACAGGTCAAATAAAATAAAGGTCTTCATTAGGGAATATGCCATGTTCTAGGATTCAGATAGAAAGCCAATTCAATGAAATTAACACAGATCCAAATGCTGATAAAGCCCCTTAAAAAGCTTTTTGTAGTTGCACTATAACTTAAAGAATTGAATTTGCTCAAGAAATCAACAAGCGACTGGGCTGGTTTTAAAAATACGTTTCAGTCTTATCAGAACAGCAGCAGTGGGAGAATAACATAAAAATAAAGGAATATCAGTTAATTATACTTAAGGAAGTAAGAGATTTTGGGGAGAGAAAAGCTGAAATTGCAGCAAATAGATTCCACCAAAAGGAAGGGAACTGATATGTTGAAGGCCTGCCTACACAGATAAAACCAGACAAAGAAAATAAGCTCCCTTTAACTGCTCTTTAGGAAGGTGCTCCTGAGGAAGAAACACAGACGCCACTACTGAGCCTGTGACACTCACAGAAATAACAGGAGAGGCAGGGGGCATCAGAGAGCAAACACAGCACTTCTGAGGGACCTGTCAGGAAAACAGGTAGAGGCTCCCTCTTAAAGCTCCCAGTAAAATCCATAACGAGTGACTGGACTGACTGCTTACAGCTTACGCAGCTCTAGCAAGTGATTATAGAACAACTAGAGGCATGGCAGAGAAGCCTCTGAAGGGGAGCATTGGATTCTTGATGCCATTATTAGGTGATCTGAAGGTGATTTATTACTGCGAGGGCATGAATGCACTTCCTATCCTCTGAGAAAGGATTTAACCTTGGCACTATTGACATTTTTAAACCAGAGACGTCATTGTTGTGGGGACCACCCTGTGCCTTATAGGCTGTTTAGCAGTATCCGTGGCTTCTACCCACTAGATGCCAGTAGTAGCCCCCAGTTATGACAACTAAAGCTGTCTGCGGACTTTGCCAAATAGCCCCTGGTTGGTGGGTGGACCAAAATCACTCCCAGATGAGAACCGGTGTTCTGAGGGAATGTGACCAAGAGTAATGAAATCAGGACTTTGGAGTAAGACACAGCACAGGGAAGAGAAGCTAGCAAATAATAGACCAGGTCCAGTTCTGATTCAGAGGTTGTTCCAACGGGAGAATGCCTCCCAGGTGGATTTTCATCAGGGATATAACGTTGGATAAGATTCATTTGAACAATGGTTGTGTTTGGCAGACTTAGAACTCACTGACTTCATTACTCTCATGATCATTTACCCCAAATCAAGAGGAATATGCTAGAGAAACAAATGTCTTAGCCCATAACAAAAAAAAAATTGGGGGGGGCCGGCCCAGTGGAACAAGTGGTTAAGTGCGCACACTCTGCTGCGGCAGTCCGGGGTTTGCCAGTTCAGATCCCGGGCGCACACCGACACACTACTTGGCAAGCCATGCTGTGGTGGCATCCCACATAAAATGGGGAAGATGGGCACGGATGTTAGCCCAGGGCCAGTCTTCCTCAGCAAAAAAAAAAAAAAAGATGAGGATTGGCAGATGTTATCACAGGACTGATCTCCTCACAAAAAAAAAATAATAATAATTTTAAATACTAAAATAGAACAAAAAAATGCTAATCCTAGAAAAGGTACAAGAAGAGGCCAAATTTAGTAGCAGATTTAAACTGTTAAAACTCATGTAGGTATTTCTCAAAGACACAGAAAATAATTTACATAAATAGAACACAGGAGGCATATCTTCACCAGTGCATGAAAAAGAAAATGTTGAAGAAAAAATATTTTCTGCTGTTTCTAAAGTGGCACAGGATTTTCAAGACCCAGGAAATCCAAAATCCATGGAAAGGAACAATGCTGGGAAAGATTAGAGGCAGAGGGATCAATACTCCCAGGCTCCTGGGATCAAAAGCAGCAGCAGCACCACCAGCTGCCTCAGTTCAAGAATCTCCTAAGGCTGGTTCTCCAGAAGATGAGAGCACATGGAGAGCACTCTTCAGGAGGCAAGTCCACAGACCCAACAACCGCACAGCAGGAGGCAGCTGGACAGGTTAACCAACGCCCTGTCATCAAACAGAATGAAGTGCATGCCACCAGACAAGGCAGTCAGCTCAGCGCTGGCGTGCTGGAACACACAACTACAAGGGAGACTAGCAGACCTTGAAGATGCTGGATGTGAAAGACGTACATCTCAAATAAGACCTGGTGACTGGCAGTAACAGTATTGTAAATTTCTAGATTTTGTAAGATGGCAGGGAAGTCTCAGATAAGGTGTCTCTATTCACCCAAATTGGAAGACTTCTCAGAAATGAGTAAGTTCAAAGGTTGTGCTTCCAGACAATTGGCAGAGCCTGACAGTTACCCCAGCAAACCTGAAACATGACTTTCACTTTTGGATACAAATAATCTTTCCTGTGGTGCTTGGCATTTGTCACATGGATTTAGACTGTACTGAGATCTAGGTTCTGAGAACACAAAGTTTTGACTGCAACAACTATTTTTGGTCCAGGGATTAGCTTATTTTGAATTTTTAAGGTGTGGGGCTGGTGCTAAAATATTCTTATATGACCTTTCAACTCTTAGGCTTGCTTAAAAAGTGGGTTACCCAAGAGAGATCTGAAAATAAAATGATTTAACATCAGAGGGTCTGGAACAATTATATCCACTTCAAAGAAAGACAGCCCATGATTCTGCTACGGAAAGAACCCTGACCCTAACCACCCATCAGAGTGAGCTATCTCTGCTTGGAGGGCAGTGGCTTTAATTTTTGGATTTTGATTTCTCTGCAAATTTAATAATAAGAAACTTTTATATTGTTCAAATTTTACTATTGCAGATATTTTTAAAAGCAGCTATTTAGACTTATTGCATAATTCTTGGTGAGCTATTTTTAGTTCCAGACGGTTTTTTTTCTTTTTCTGTTTTGATTTTACCTACTTGAGGACAGTTCTCATTTCTCTTTCATTACAGTCTCTTCTATTTATTTCTCTCTCTTCCGTCATTTCTGACTAAACAGGAGCCACTGGTTTTGACTGTTTAGCCTGAACTTCCTCTCTTACGTTCCTGAGTACTTTGAGTGGGTTGTAATTTTTCTCCCCCTGATCATCTGTGTCAGTTCCCTTGAACCTGTTCAGTTCAGGTGTCTGGGGTCTCTAAGGTAGCATCAAAGAAGTTTTTGTTCCTCTGAACTGACAGCATAATAGCTTAAAACCGTGATTCTTCAGCTTAAGCATGGGGCCTGGGGGTGAGGGAATTAAACTTCGCCCAACTGCACAGAATGTGCAGCTTCCCCCAGGACTGCCGGCACCAGCGGGCTCCGGGGATTCCCTCCCCAAAGACGCCGTCCAGCAAGCAGAAAGCGCGGATAGTCAGGCAGTCGGGTACGTCCACTGGCCTGTCCCAGAAGGATCCTTTCATGCAACTCCCAAGGCTCCGCACTGTCTCTGGCTCTTCCTGCTCAAGGACACTACAGACATTAAGGGCCAGCATCTTTTTATGATCTGGAGATTACACAGCCCAAGAGGAGATTACGTAGCCTGAGAGATCTGGATCAACCTCTACCAGTAGGCTTATTTTAGTGGTTCATTCCAATGAAGACTTAGGAAGAAGAAATGTCAGCAACATGTATTCAGATAGTCACCTTCTCAGAAATCCATTCTTGCGTTACACTTTTATTCCCAAAAGGACCATCTCTTCTAGCTGCTATGATATTTCCACTTAATAATGTAGGCCTTTGATACATGTTATACAGTTGAAAAATTGGTGGTCCTAAAATATAAGTATTTTCAGGGCTGGCCCGGTGGCATAGTGGTTAAGTTCATGCACTCCACTTCAGTGGCCTGGGGTTCGTGGGTTCGGATCCCAGGCATGGACCTACACGCCACTCATCAAGCCATGCCGTGGCAGCATCCCATATACAAAATAGAGGAAGATTGGCACAGATGTTAGCTCAGGGTCAATCTTCCTCACCAAAAAAAAATAAATAAATATTTTCAAATTCTGTTCAAGAATATGTTTCCTTTCATGAAAATAAAATCCTTGATCTGCTTAATATGAATACAGCTTTCTTTTAAGTAGCTTGATATACATAGCAATTGTAAATTTGCTTGCAACATGTCAAGTAACATTTGACAAAATTAAGCTTTCATATATTCTCCAATATTCATTTATTCAACAGATATGTATCAAAGGCCTACTAATTACTGAAATTTTTCTGGGTTCTGAGGATATAGCTATGAACAAATTAGATAAAAATGCCATCTATGTTGGAGCGCACATTCTAGTAAAATACAATATCCATTAAAACAATAGGGCTACTTAAATAACAAGGCATCTTTACTGACCTCACATGGAATTTCAGCAGGAAGCACTACTGCCAGTGGTATGGTGATTCTTGAAGCTTCTGATAATTCTTCAATTTCCTTTCTCTCACTTATTTTCCCAGAATATTCCACTCTTAGGTCTGTTGGAATATCAACCTCAAGGTAGTCCTCAGAACCTAAAGAAAAGTTCATAAATGTAGATTATAATATAGCCAGAGCCATATTATTTACTCCATTTCTATAAAGACTAATTCCTGAAAAATCAATTGAATTAATATATGGGACAACAGAACTGAGTTTAAGATAGCTGAAATAATTGAACCAATGTTAATACCTAAAATAAAGCTTCACAATTTAACTAGTACTATAACTTTAGTGACAAAACTAAATCAACTTCAGGATAATATATTCATCCACTATTTAAATATTTTCCCCAAGAAAATCCAACCTCCATTTAATATTTTCTCTTAATATTAAAACAGTAAATCTGAAAAACATGAAACTATCTCATTTCAATGACTATAATTAAGAAAATTTATTTCATTTTAAATCAGAACAATTATTTACCCTTCACATAGATTTCTAATTTTTTTTTTGTGTGTGTGAGAAAGATCAGCCCTGAGGTAACATCTGATGCCAATCCTCCTCTTTTTTTGCTGAGGAAGCTTGGCCCTGAGCTAACATCCGTGCCCATCTTCCTCCACTTTACATGAGACGCCACCACAGCATGGCTCTACAAGCAGCACGTTGGTGTGTGGCCAGGATCCAAACCGGCAAACCCTGGGCTGCCGCAGCAGAGCGCGCACACCTAACCGCTTGCGCCACCAGGACGGACCCTAGATTTCTAATTTTTAAAAACAAAAAGCATAACTAGGAGACAATCACAATAAACTAGTATTTCTACAAAACACTAGTTTAATAGTAAACTATTAGTGTTCATCAAAATGTTAATGTGTTCTGTGAAAGAAAGTGTCTGTATCCAGCAATTTAGGTTTCTTTATGGCAGTATTATTAAGAGCACTGAAATATGCTGATGTAAATTCTGAATCTCAAAGAAGGGGAAATAGTATTTGGTTTTTCTTTTTTTATCTTAACATTTAGTGATTTAGCATTTGGCCTCAATCATTAAAACACTTTTCTCTACTGAAGAAAACGAAAGTTGTGTTAACCGAGACGGATAATATTTTTATTACTCAATGTTTGAAAGCCCAAAGTGTTTTATTGGGGCACAGAACCAGTGTGGCTAAAACCAAAGCTCTCACAACTAGAGACTCTCACAGTTGTAAACTCTTAGGCCAACCCCAAAAGTATCCCTCCAATCCCCAAAGAAAGGAATTAGAAAAAAGGAAAGCAGCTCCTAAGAGCTAGAAACTGGCCTGACACTAAAGGCCTTGGTGTTGTTAGGAGCTGGCCTAGTGTTCTCCTATTGAACATCAACAATTTCACAGAACACCAACATCAGGCAAGGCCATTCTGTCACCACGATGGATCAAGTCAGAGACGAGACCACTTTGTAGTCATATCTGAATCCAGGCGAAAACGTGAACATTGCCCAAACCACAAAAATGGCCAAAGATATCAAACCGTGGTTCCTGTGAGTGATGCTGTGTCTTTACCAATTCCAGTCTCTGCCTCTTTTCATTTCTCTTGCCTTCTAGGTAGGGTAACCAACTCCTCCCAGTTTGCCAGGGATTTTCCTGGTTTGGGCACTGAAAATGCTGTGTCCCAGGAACCCCCTCAGTCTCAAGCATACTGGGATAGTTGGTCACCTTGCTTTTTGATAAGAGTCATTAATATACCAAATCATACCATTACCCCTGGTTTTTGACAGCAAGCAAACTATAGAAAAGCTCTGCTCCCTTGAACCCTCCCTCAATCACTTCATGCAAGCCTAAATCCTACAGTAAGTCCTTCCTAATACCTCTTACGGAGTCGCCCCATGGTTCTCCATGGTGTGCCTGCTCTTCATTGCAACTACAAAACACCCAGCTAGTTCATGTAGAGGTGTATTCCTGGTGGTCTTTGGCTATAAAGCACATTGACAGGATAAAGAGGAAGAGTCAAAGGCAATATAGATGAAAGTAGGTGGAATTTTGGTCTCATTGTATCCAAAAAAAGTGAAGTCACCAGTTTCATATAGATAATTCTATCAGAAAAGCAGAGGAACAAAAGAGACACCCTCTGGAGAGGAGCGGTCTCTACGCCACATCTAAGAAGAAGGGTGTTTGGGGTTTTTTTTCTGTCTCATGAAAGTGCAGAATAAAACTACAAAAGCACGTGGGATTTCCAGATTCTCCCAGTACTAGTCTTGCTTGAAATGACATGAAAAACGGCCTTATTTCTCTAACAATTTAAAACACTTTCATAAACAGTCTCCCTCTCTCTCTCCTTCTGTCTCTCTCTTTTACACCCACACGCACAAATCAAAACAGTGAAAGGCTGTATAGTACTGGCTCAACTACTTTGTGAACTGATGTAAGAACAAGGAGACGGATTTTATTTAACACATCTTAAAAGAAGGTGTAAGTTGTTCCACCACGGCAATATCTAAGATGTTTTCTGCTAATTCCTCTGTGGAATTAGGTCAAGAAGAGCTGTTTTATACCCTGACGGCATAATCATAGATGTACAAAGGATTTATCTCTATGAGTGTTCATAGAAGCACTGTTTATAATGCAGAAAATTGGAAGCAGTCTAAGCTATAAGGGACTAGATAAAAATATGTAATATGACATAAGATATTGTCACTAATAAAAATTCTATCAAAGAATATTTAACAACAGGGACAAGTTTATGATATAACTGAAAAAAATTCAAGTTACAAAATTGTCAATTTAGTAGGTTCCCATTTTAGTAAAATAAAAAGCATAAGATTTATGGTTGCAGGTTCCACATGTAAAGAGCTTTGGAAATCGTCCCTCCACCCTAACAAACAAAAAGCTGAACAGACTAAAAAATCAGCAACTCCTCTTTGCTCCTTAAGAGCGGGGTGAACATAGCACAAACTGCTGCCTCCGAGCTAGAGAGACAGGCAGGTGAGCAGACGGTGGCTCAGCTGAGAGAGCAGACACTCAGGAGAACCAGTGCTGCCGGGCACCAGTGCCAGGTAGGGACACCTGAACCGCGACTGATGAACTGCTGGACACTCAGTGTGGACCAACCTGAGAGTTAAAAACTCCGGGAATGCAGCCAGAGTGGGGCCCCACATTATTTTGAGATTTACCTCCAGGAGCTGACCAGATTCCCACAGTAAATATTGGAGAAAATTCCCCTCTTGCTTCTTTAAGGGGAGGGGAAATGGAAACATTTTGAAATACTCCAGAACAGTGTTCTCCTTAATGAGGCCTGCCTGCCCTCAGGGGAACTAGTAACCAGAGCCTAACCTGCTGGGGGTTATCTGAGTCTAACTGCCCTGGGGAAGAGAAACACCCAAATGCAGCCCACTGTAGCCATTCTGTCCCACCTAAGGGAGAGGAAAAAACTGAGAAACTCTTGTGAGGTTCACAGTCCGGAGGTATAGGCTCATTAAAGGACTGAGACCTAATAGTAGGACTCTGCAACACTTCCCGTTCCACCACACCTCACCATGACATTACTAAAGGCCTATTTACAGCAGTTCCTTTTACCCAGTACATTATGTCTAGATATAGAGAAAAATTACAAGGCATACCAAATGGGAAAAAACACAATTTGAAGACGCAGAACAAGCATCAGAACCAGACATGGCAGGGACAATGGAATTATCAAACTGGGAATTTAAAACAACTCTGATTAAAATGCTAAGGGCTCTAATGGATAAAGTAGACAGCATGCAAGTACAGGTAGGCAATGTAAGGAGAGAGATGGAAGTCCTAAGAAAGAATAAAAAAAAACGCTAGAGATTAAAAACCTTGTAACAGAAATGAAGAATGCCTGTGATGGGTTTATTAGTAGACTGGACACAACTGGAAAAAGAATCTCTGAGCTAGAGGGTATATCAATAGAATCCTTGCAAACTGAAAAACAAATAGAATAAAGACTAAAAAAAAGAAAATAACCCAGAATATCCAGGGACTGTGCAACACCTATAAAAGGTGGAACATACACATAATAGGAATACCAGAAGTAGAAGAAAGAGAGAAAAGAACAGAAGAAATATTTCAACCAAGAATGACTGAGAATCTCCCCAAATAAATGTCAGATACCAAATCATGGATCCAGGAAGTTCAGAGAACACCAAGTAGGAAAATCCCCCAAAGAGTACACCTATGGATATCATCTTCAAACTGCAGAAAATCAAGATAAAGAAAAAAATCTTGAAAAAAGCTAGAAAGAAACCTTACCAATAGAGGAACAAAGATAAGAATTATATCGGACTTCTCCTCAGAAACCATGCAAGCAAGAAGAGAGTGGAGTGAAATATTTAAAGTGCAAGAGAAATAAACCACCAACCCAGAATTCTGTACCCTGTGAAATTATCATTCAGAAGTGAAGGAGAAATAAGACTTCTCAGACAAACAAATATTGAAACAATTTTTTGTCAGTAGACCTGCCTAAAAGAAAACTTAAAAGAAGTTCTTTAGTGAGAAGGAAAATGATATAGGTCAGAAACTAGTATCTACATAAAGAAAGGAAGAGCATTGAGGAAAGAATAAAGGAAGGTAAAATAATAACACTTATTCTTCTTATTTGTAATTGATCTAGAAGATAACAGTTTGTTCAAAATAATAGCAACATGTATTCAATTATGTATTCTTATGTATATATCTTATATAAATATTTATACTTATGCTTATATGTGTTTATATATAAATAAAATGAATGACAGCAATGATACAAGGGATAGGAGGGAGGAATTAGGATTATTTCATTATTATAAGGTATTCACACTACCTGTGAAACAGTATAGTGTTATCTGAAAATGGACTTGGACTACTTGTAAACGTATATTGCAAACTCTAGGAAAACCACTAAAAAAAGTTTAAAAAAATGTGTCACTGGTATGCCAAGAAAGGAGAGAAAATGGAATCATATAAAATGCTGAATCAAAATCACAAATGGCAGAAAAAGAGTAGAAGACAAAAACAGGAACAAAGAATATGGGCAACAAATAGAAAACAGTAATGAATATGGTAGATATCAATCCAACTATACCAATAATCACTTTGAATGTCAATGGTCTAAATGCACCAATTAA